GATTAATTAATGATGAACATGTCATTTTAGTTTATGATCGATTTCATCACGATTCTTCTGTTAAGCTTGGAGAGTAATTATACATTCTTATTGCTCCAAGTGGAGTCCAATAGTGTTATAAAAACCTTGGAGAATTCCAGTAAGATATCTTTAATTATACAACAGTCCGGAGCTTAATTTAACAAGTGAACAATTTTGCTGTTATACGATTTAACTAATTTCCAATTTATATATATATATATATATATATATATATATATATATATATATATGTAGTTTATGAAAAACAAGGTAATCCGTATGGGTAAACCTAAGGAGGATAAAAACCAGAGAGCGCAATGTAAATTCAGAGCAAATAATTTAAATAAATATATATATATATATATATATATATATATATATATATATATATATATATATATATATATATATATATATATATATATGGAGGCACGCTGGAGTAGTGGATAGTCAGATTGAGGTATCTGGGAGCTGAGTTCGAATTCCAGTCGAATCCATTACATTCACTTACGTGCTAATAAGGCTAGGTATTAATCCTAATGTTCTTCATCGGCCAGTTACAGGTAAATAGCAGGATAGACTATAATCTTGGATGGCAACTTGTCTAGGAGAAGAACAAGTTTCAATTCAAAACCTGCGGAGGGTCGTTCTTGGTTCTGCAAAAATTCTTCCCCACTATAATCAAATCATACGTGCTGGTGCCTGGGCTCTCGATTCCTAGGAACTGAGCTGCTTATATATATATATATATATATATATATATATATATATATATATATATATTACGATAAACGTGCAATCAATTTATAAATTCATGAATTATTCACACAAAAACAAAAGCAAAGGTTAATGATTTAATTGGCGAGAAATCCATCATCGCAAACAATTCAAATAATATACAAAAACCTCCGAATCCGTTATGAATGAAATGAAATGAATGAAATTTACCAGTAAAAAATTCGGTCATCACCATATTTATATGAACGCACAACATTTAAAAATTTTAAATCAAACTCAGCGTTGCTACTGCGCGCTCCAAAAACTATAACTCATTTTCAATAGCATTTTCGGATACAACAATACATATATTTTCGTTGTCCTCTTATTACTAAGAGAAAAAACAAGAACAACATCTATTCTATACCTGAAGATGTCTGTAGAAACAGACGAAAGCTTGTAGTAAAAATAAGAACTAATACGGCAGAAATTTATGGAAACAAGGATCATTTCATTTATAACGGATTCGGAGGTTTTTGTATATTATTTGAATTGTTTGCGATGATGGATTTCTCGCCAATTAAATCATTAACCTTTGCTTTTGTTTTTGTGTGAATAATTCATGAATATATATATATATATATATATATATATATGTATGTATGTACGCAAATATATGGATATAGATCCGACAGTATGAAGAAAAATATATACGGAAAAAACAAACAAAAATCCTTATATACAATTATGCTATTTTAATGTTAATATGTCAACGTCGGACGTTTCGGTCTAATAAACCATCTTCAGGACAGATTCATAAATTATAACATTATCAATTCAACATGACAAAGACGATGTACATAAGAACAAGCCTTATCCAAACAAATAACTGAAAGTTTTATAAGATCAGCGCTGATCTTATAAAACTTTCAGTTTTCTTATAAAACTGGCATTTGGAAGAAATAAAATTGATTTCCTCAATTCACAAAATTTTGGAGATGTTTTAAACTGAATTTAAATAAAAAAAAATAAAATTCACAAAGTTTTTGTGTTACTTTGAACTCAATATTAAATTTAAAATCTTTTAAAATCACTATTTTTTTTCAGTTATTTTAAAATTCGAATTTTTAACTCTTCTCTCCTCATTCGGACAAAAAATCCCAATGTTGTATTTTCAAGCACCTGATTAAGGGCAGATTTACAATCTCAGGATAATCCTCATTCCAAAAATGTACAATATATCTATGTAAAGCAAGTGTGGCCTGTGTTAGAGAGGTTTCAGAACTTGATGTTATTTATTAAGATGTATTAATCTGTATGGGTGTGAAAACTTTCCTTAGAATGCTCTCTCCACAAAAGCTGGTAGTTTTCCATAAATAATTTAGTTATGTTTCCGTATACGTCTTTTATCTTTTCTTGCCATCACTGGCAGTTGTTTTTTTTTAATATTAGAAGAAAACTGTCCTTATTGTAGATGTCCCGAAGCTTTTACACCATCAGCTTGTGCATTTGTGCACCTTGGGAATTTGGGTACGTCTGAACATTATTGTTTGAAATTCACTTGAGAATAGGATAATCAAAGAATATCCCTTTAAGTCAGCTAAAAAAAAGCTTAGACGATTGCTAATTTATTCATTCTTTTATTTTCTTGTGGATATACGAGCTAAAAATATACATACATTCCTCCTAAAATTTCTTCTACAGACTTCTAGCTATATAATAATAAAAGTCTGTGATTGCGTGCGTGCGTGCTTGTGAGGTGTGTTGTCCGTCCAGCGCATAATGATTTAAGTTAATCTGATTTAAGTGAGTAAGATTTAAAAATACGAGTTGTTTATACAATAAGTATTTTTTTATTTTAACTTTCTTCAAACAGACATTTTTAAAATTAAAATACTTTAAAGTTAAGGACAGACATAAAGAGATCCCGATTTGCTGTTTTGTCCAGTTGTTTGTAGAGTAATTATTTATATTTCAACTTTCTTTAAACAACAACAACAAAAAAATTGTTTTTAAAATTCCAAGTGAATATAATTTAAAAATATCTTTTGGAATATTGAAAAAATATTTTTAAGCTAATCTGATTTGAAGTTCGAATTTATTCTGGACGTTCTATCACTATTAAATGCTATAAACTACCAGTAAAACGTTAAATATTAATTTGTAAAGATGGCGAATTGAAATACAGTGTAACCCATATATAAGAGAGTTGTCGGGACCGGAGAAGAAGTCTCTTATATCCGGGTTTCTCTTATATCCGGGTTTGGTCTATTTTGTTTAGGTAAGTATGGGCTCTAATTTGGGACCAGAGACAATCTTTCTTATATCCGGGTTTCTCTTATATCTGGGTCTCTTATATCCGGGTTACACTGTATTTAACTGAAACATAATAAAAATAAACTTTCATTTCAATGAAACGTTGAAATAAACTTCACTGTTTTATAGCCTGAACCATCAGGAACCCAACGGTTCACGGCTAGTCTAATGTCTTCTATTATTAAACTAAATGGCAGATAACTAATCTTGATATGTAAAGTACAACATCTGTGTGGCTGTCTGCTGAAAAATCTTAACACCAATTATATGAGGGTTTTAGTTTATTCGTCTCCCTCGACGCGAGGGTAAATTTTCTAAAAAGGTCGATTTACTTGCATTATTTACATTACTCGGATTGCTATCCCCATCTTCATACGGAATATAAAGAAAATGAATGTTAGTTGGATTTAAGAGAAAGATTAAAACAAGATTTTACAATTGTAATTAAAAAATAGCAGTGAAGAACTGAAATTTCCCAAAAGAAATTTAAATTTTAAATTTAACCTACTATGCTGTGAAGTCGACAGAATCAAAAACAAACACCCATGCGAGAAATTAAAAACAGAAAATGTCGAATTTACCCATCGCAACATATATATATATATATATATATATGTGTGTGTGTGTGTGTGTGTGTTGCGATGGGTAAATTCTACATTTTCTGTTTTTGATTTCCCGTTATATATATATATATATATATATATATATATATATATATATATATATATATATATATGTGTGTGTGTGTGTGTGTGTGTGTGTGTGTGTGTGTGTGTGTGTTGCGATGGGTAAATTGGAAATTTTCTGTTTTTGATTTCTCTTTATATATATATATATATATATATATATATATATATATATGTGTGTGTGTGTGTGTGTGTGTGTGTGTGTGTGTGTGTGTGTGTGTTGCGATGGGTAAATTCAACGAAATTTTCTGTTTTTGATTTCTCTTTATATATATATATATATATATATATATATATATATATGTGTGTGTGTGTGTGTGTGTGTGTGTGTGATGGGTAAATTCTGAAATTTTCTGTTTTGATTTCTCTCTCTCTCTCTCTCTCTCTCTCTATATATATATATATATATATATATATATATATATATATATATATATATATATATATATATGTGTGTGTGTGTGTGTGTGTGTTGCGATGGGTAAATTCGAAATTTTCTGTTTTGATTTCTCTTTATATATATATATATATATATATATATATATATATATATATATATATATATGTATATATATATATGTGTGTGTATTGATGGACAATTTCCAAGATAAAGAAGGAGGATGAGAATACCATAGACCGAACATGAGAGCAACGACGAACTTTGAAAGAAAATGGAAGCAAAAACGAAACTTATACTTAATATCAGGAGGAGGCAGTTGAGGCTTCGAGGCTATATACTTAGGAAAGAGGGCTTGGAAAATCTGATACTCACAGTACAGATTGAAAACAAGTGAGACAGAGGTAAACAGCGCATCACATTCTTGGATGGCGGAACAGAGTTCAGGAGAAATAACAGAAAGATAAAATTTATTAAAAGCTTCAAGGGGCAGGAAGTTGTGGAGAGCCATGATCGCCTTCGTCCTGAGGGACACGGAATATGAAGAAAATGAATGTTAGTTGTATTTAAGGGAAAGATTAAAACAAGATTTTACAATTCTAATTAAAAAACAGTAGTGAAGAACCTGCATTTCCCAAAAGAAATTTAAATTTTGCATTTAACCTCTTCAGATCATTTTGTTGGATTTAGCACCCCAAACCAAATACAGGAATAGAGGCCAAGATCCTGATCATCTGAGAAATACAAGGAAAGTTATATCAAAATCAAATATATAGTGCTTTGCATCTGGCGCAAAAAGTGGATAATGTTTAATTTAACGTATCAAAAGAATTGAGTATGTTTTAAATGGATCCCGTGTTTATAGTCATATCATGTTGAAAAACCGGTTCCCGTACGATCACTGAAGTTAAGCAACATCGAGCCTGGTCAGTACCTAGATGGGTGACCGCTTGCGGTTACTAGGTCTTGTAAGCTTGGATGTTCGGGTGGTATAAAGGGCTTACGGACATATATTGAAACACCGATTCCCGTACACTCATCAAAGTTAAGCAACGTCGAGCTTGGTCATTACCTACATGGGTGACCGCTAGCGAATACCAGGTGCTGTATGATTGGATAAGAATTACTTTGGGAGCTGAGCAAATCTGTCCTGAGTATCATATGCACGAGCGTAGTGTGCTCGCAATCGTACATTTGACATTTTGGAGCATTTCCCAAGTGATACGTGCTATATCTAGTTTGAAAGTAGACAGATTGAGTATTACAGAACCGGTCTAACGTTGTCCTAACTCCAGGTATTTGTTAAGTTATGATTGATTAAGTTAATCAAAACTCGCACATGTTTAATATGCCTTAGATTAGAAAAGGCTAAAAAATCATGAGACCTCAGCCGAGATTGAACTCACTTATACTTTGATTGGTGTAGTTCATAATCTTGTCAAGTAGCTGAATTCTTGATGCTTCGCTAGGGCTATCAAGGATGTTTTTATCGTGACACCATCGCTAAATGGATTGCCAACCAAGGCTCAGAGAGACTCCATTCACCCTCCTCTAAGAGCAGGTTTTGAATTCAGAGTTGTCCTTCTCCTAGACCAGTTGCCATCCAAGGCTATAGAACCCAGTCTGTCCTGCTATTTACCCATAGCTGTAGGAAGAAGAAAGAGGATTCACTCCTTTCCCAAGGGTGTTAGCACGTAAGTGAATGTAATGGATTCGATTGGAATTCGAACTCGGCTCTCCGATTCTTCAATCCAAGCCGCTATCCATTACTCCACCGTGCCTCCTAATCGTACTGTGCTCCAAACGTAATGAAAACATAGTTTTATCTTCAAAATCTTTATGTTATTATTAAGAGGAAGGATCAAAGTATTTTTTGACTATTTAAGTAATTTTTTTCTCCTTTTTACTAACTTTTAGCATAGCAAATTTTAGCCTCTTTTTGCAGTGACAGACAAATTAATTCGAAAATTCTTGCAAAAATCAAATAATTGTCAGCTTTTAAATCTTTAAAACATATTCAAAAATGAATTAAATTATTTTTTTTATTAGAAAATCATGGTAAAAATATGATTTACGCATGTTTCAGCATCTTTATTTTATTAAAACTTGAGAAATTCATCGAAATAATGTTTAGTGACTATTTTAGTTAAAAGCAGAATTCTTTGAAGAAATTAAATTACCGAATTCCTTTTGCACAATCACCCGACCTTAACGAAAATCTTTTCTTAATTGAAAAATAAAAAAAAAATGGAGTATAACTAAGACATTATTTAATTAGAGAAACTTTTAATTGCTTTTATGAATAATATATATTAAAGACAATATTGTCTGAAGATGAAACATTTCGACGAAAAATTAATTTTGACATGATTTGTTTTCATTTTTTAGAATTTTAAATTGAAAAATTTATAGTTTTAAAATCTTTTAAAATTCATTTTCAGTGAGAAAATTCTTAGGTAATATTAAGTAAAACTATATTTATTAATATTTTATATTAATATTTGATATTTTATATTTTATAATATTATATAACATTATAATGTTATATTATTATATTATGTTATATCATATCAAAAATAATGACGTAATAATGTCGTTTTTTGACGTTAAAAATACGTCAAAGAACGACATTATTACGTCATTATTTTTGCACCAACCTAATATTATATAATATTATTATATTATTATACTATTATATTTTATATTTTATATGTTATATTAATATTAAATAAAACTATATTTATTAATCATATATTTTAAAGCTTATTACAATCTGATGACCCTGAATATTAATTAAATTAATTAAATATTAATATTAATTATTTATTAATATTTATATCAATCTAACGACCCTGAATATTTTTAAAAAGTGTTTCGATTTGTTTTTGGCAGTTGAATCACAAAATTTACTCAAATTAACAGATTAGCCATATTTTGTCTGCATTTGTTTTCTGGCCCCAAAGTGCAAATAAAACACAAATAACATTTTTTTCTCTTTTTAGTGTATGTCTAAATATTAGTGTATATCTAAATATTTAGTAGATTTGAAATCTACTAAATGTAAGAAAACTGTTATCGTGAATCTATTCAACTGATTAATTCCTTTTTATTATTTATCAACACTCTTCAGGTTATTTACAACCAAAAAACATTTTCGGATTGTAAGATGTTTTTTCTGGAGATAATAACGGTTTAGCGATACAATTTTTACTAATTAACCCATAGCTTGGGGAGAACAGGTGGATCCATATATTTCCCAAGAGTACTTGCGCGTAAGTGAATATATCGAACCTAATAGGAATTCAGCTCTCCGATTGACAATTCAGAGTCATTATACGTGAAACCAGCCTCACACCCAAGCTTATAGGACCTGATATTCGCAAGCGTTCACTAATCTATGTACTGTAGATACTGACCATACTCTTTTTTAATTCTAAAAACAAGTGAAGAAAGTATTCAAAAAGAAAGAAGGAAAAAAGAAAGAAAAAAAGAAAAGATAGAAAATGGAGGAATAAAGAGTTAATGCTAAAAAGAAATTGTTTAAATTCGATGATCGTAGCGGAACCAGGTGTTTAAACTTGATATGGCCGTAAAACCTTTATACCATCGGCGCATCCAAGCTTAGAGCTGTAAGACTGGATAAGAATGGTGAAGCTCGGCCTGTTGCTTTGGATATCTCAAAGACATTAGCAAGGGTTTCACATGTTGGTCGGCTTCGTAGGTTGGAAGTGTATGGCAATTCTGGACGATTTTTTGATCTGATTCCATCTTTCTTATGAAATTGTGAAATGAAAGTTGTCTTGGACGGCCATTCTTCTAGATCATTTTGCATTAATGTAAGTCTCCCCTCAGGGATCTATCCTTGGATCTACATTGATAACGCTTCCCAGTGATCAGTATGCACACATATGGAGGCACATTTGATTTGATCGTTGCTAAGGAGGCTACACTACTTCACTTTTTACAATGCAGCAATCATGGCTATCGTGGCCGTCAAGAAACTGGTCTACAAACGCAAGAATATGTGTTTAATTACTGCTGCCAATATTAACACCAATCGGCATCTATGTAATTCGGTATAATTGTATGGTCTGCCCGTGTATGAATAAAAAATAATATATTAAGCAAGAAATCGAGTTGTGTGGTGTGATATAGTCATACCGTGTGTTCTTTTCTTTTTTCTCTCTCGTTTATTTATACATCATTCTGAATCTATCTATCTATCTATCTATCTATCTATCTATCTATCTATCTATATATATATATATATCAACCTGTGTATATGTATATTTCTGCCTATTAATCAAAAGTGATGAATTTTGTTATGAATGAGATATCTATCTATCTATCTATCTATCTATCTATCTATCTATCTCAAACTGTGTATAACAATATTTCTGCCTATCAATCAAAAGTGATGAATTTTGTTATGAACGAGATATATATTACATCTATCTATCTATCTATCTATCTATCTATCTATCTATCTATCTCATATTCATATCTATTCATATCTATCTATCTATCTATCTATCTATCTATTTATTATATTTTGTTCCATATAAACCTTTTAATTTTGTATTAAGTATTACACTTCAGTTTTGATTTCAATTTCCAAATTATAATTTTTTCAGTGGTTTAATTTTTATGCATATATATATATATATATATATATATATATATATATATATATATATATATATATATATTCTTAAATCCCCTCTAAAACTTGTAATAACCTTCAATTAATTCTTCCTAATTTACGCCCGGTAGAGGAAGCCTTTTAAGTTCAAGCTGGGTTTTAATGGAGTTGATGCTGTGAAGAACATAAATTATATTTTCAAAATTTCACTTAACACAAGCGGGAGAGAAATTAAACAAGATTATCAATAGACGATGAACAATACACACACACGCGCACATGTGTGTGTGTGTCCACACAATATCATGTTGGAAAGTTCTCAGTACAATAAAAAATGATTCCTAAATAAATTCTGATCATTTAACATATAATCACTAATTTGGGAAGTTGGTCTGGCTGAGATCTTTTTCGAGTACCCTGAGAGGCACACAATATACCATTCTGGAAAGCTCATATACTTTATTATGTTTTCTTGAGTGAATAGGTTGCTAGATGTATTCCACACTGCTTAAAAAATGAGGCGTCTATTCAAACACTGGTGTCCGCCATATGTATTAGGTTGGTGCAAAAATAATGACGTAATAATGTCGTTTTTTGAGGTTAAAAAGTACGTCACAAAACGACATTATTACGTCGTTATTTTTGCACCAACCTAATAACATTTGATATACAGGGTGCGATGGATAAATTGTCGTCTAAATGCCGGAAAAATCAAAATGACACTGACATCACATTTTATCAAATATATTTACAAAAATTACAAAAAAAAAAAAAAAAAATCTTGAAATACTAAAGAGTTAAATTATTCAAGATAATCGCCATTGGCTTCAACCACGGCCTCAAGACGATTTCGGAATCTCCTGTAGCTCTTCTGGGTGGTCTTCTTGTTTTAGTTGCTGAATACTGACATAATCCTTGCTTTTAGTTCATATTTGGTCTTACAAGGAGTTTTGTTGGTCTCTTACCTTCAGTTAATCTTTAGTGTTACAAGGGGTTTTCTTGGTCTCTTGCTCAACTGCATCCCACACTTAATAATCAAAGGGGTTTCAGTCTGGGTTAGGTGGCCAGATGTAAGAAGTGATGTGGTTGTAGAAATTGTCTGACGGCCATGACTGGGTTCTCTTGCTTGTGTGACATGGTGTAGAGTCCTGTTACCAGGCATAGATTCTTTCAACAGTCAGGTCATCACTACCTTCGCAAGTCACTTAATGCGGGCCTATCCTGTTGAGTCTGAGGCCCTCGCCAACAAATTCGAGAACTCTTTTCTTATCAGAACGATCAGAGAGAGTTTTCGGAGCTGTCGTATGTTGTAATCACCATTAGACTCAT